GGTTGGATCCAGATGATTTTCTTTTTTTTTTTTTTTTTTTTCCCCCCCCCCCCCGAGACAGAGTTTTGCTCTGTCGTCCAGGCTGGAATGCAATGGTGTGATCTTGGTTCACTGCAACCTCTGCCTCCCGGGTTCAAATGATTCTCCTGGCTCTGCCTCCCGAGTAGCTGGGATTACAGGCATGCACCACCACGCCCAGCTAATTTTGTATTTTTAGGAGAGATGGGGTTTCACCATGTTGGTCAGGCTGGTCTCGAACTCCTGACCTCAGGTGATCTGCCTGCCTCGGCCTCCCCACCAGATGATCTTAATTTGTGTATTTATACTCATTCTTACTCTGAAAAGGGCTTTAAATTGCCTAGAAACTACATGTAAGATGTTAACATTTTAAATGGAAGCTGATGAAGTTCTAGGTCGCTGCCACCTCACTAACATTTTTAACAATTATACTGTAAAATTCAGCTCTACCAGGGTGTAGAGCCAGGTGTGGTGGCTCAAACTTGTAATTCCAACAACTCCAGAGGCCAAGGCAAGAGGATGAGTTGAACCCAGGAATTTGAGGCTGTAGTGAGTCATCATGCCACTGCACTCCAGCCTGGGCAAGAGTGAGACCCCGAATATTTAAAAACAACAACAACAACAACCAACTCTATCAGGATATCATAAGTACTTAGGATGGAATATTTGCATCTGTAATAAAGACTTTTTTTTTTTTTTTGAGACACAGTCTCACTCTGTTGCCCAGGCTGGAGTGCAGTGGTGTGATCTCAGCTCATAGCAACCTCCACCTCCCAGGTTCAAGTGAGTTCCCTTCCTCAGCCCCCGAGTAGCTGGGACCACAGGCATGTGAATTTTTGTATTTTTAGTAGAAACGGGATTTCACTGTGTTGGCCAGGCTGGTCTCGAACTCAGGTTGGCCTCAAGTGATCTGCCCACCCTGGCGTCCCAGTGTTGGGATTACACGCATGAGCCACTGTGCCTGGCCATGTAATAGAGACTTTTAATATAGGAGGGTGTACCAGAAGCACCAGTTCCCTGTGGCAAACAGAATTATTCCTGCTGTATTTGTAATTTGGTGCCACGAAGGTCGCCCAGATCCCTTCAGCTCTGATGAAAGAGCATTGCTTCAGCGGACATCTGCAGAAAGCTTGCGCCAATGGATAGTCTCCCTCAGGTCCGTGCCATCGCTGCAGGGGCTGTGGGTTATGGACATCACTGCAGCCCAGTGGCTCTCCTGGTCTCCACCATATGAGTTGGCTTGTTTTTCTCCTGTTTTACTTGGCCTTTAGCTGTGGTCTTTCAAACCACCACCCCTCCTTATCGTCCTCTGTGCTGGTTCCACAGATCTTCCTCTGATGGCACTGCCTCCATGCCATGCCCTCTGCCAGTTCTATGTGGTGAACAGTGAGCTGTCCTGCCAGCTGTACCAGAGATCGGGAGACATGGGCCTAGGTGTGCCTTTCAACATTGCCAGCTACGCCCTGCTCACGTACATGATTGCGCACATCACGGGCCTGAAGGTGGGCTGTCTCGGGAAGGGTGACTTGTGAGCCTAACACACTGAGCTCTTCAGTTCTTTAATATGGGAAGACGAATTGCAGAGAGTTTAGTCTCTGAGTTTTTAATTTGATATGTGTAAGACGTGAACGGGCTTTTACTTTGAAACCTTCCTTTTCTGGAAGGTTTTCTGGCCCTGTGGTATACGCACTAACAGATCTATGCAGGTTGTTTGTGATACGGCTTCTATGAATTTTCTCAAAAGCTATGCTGAGGTTGGGTGTGGTGGCTCATGCCTGTAATCCCAGCACTTTGGGAGACTGAGGCAGGAGCAATTACTTGAGGTCTGGAGTTCAATACCAGCCTGGGCAACAAAACAAGATCCTGTCGCCACAAAAAAATGGAAAAGCTACACTAAATTATTATTTTTTTTAAAGCCTTGAGGTGTCTGCATACTCTAATGTTTTTAAATGATGTTTTAAAGCAACTGAAACTAACATACTGTTCTGCTTTCTCCCCCGGGTTTATAGCCAGGTGACTTTGTACACACCTTGGGAGATGCACATATTTACCTGAATCACATCGAGCCACTGAAAATTCAGGTGAGAATTAGATGTTATACTTCTGGGTTTGATACCTTCTCTTGATAAAAGGTTGATTGTGGAGCAGGCATCTGCTCAATGCTGTGTCCAAGATAAAGATGGCTGCTCCAAATGCGGGGCTTCAGTTTAGGGAGAAGTGGTGGGCAGGTGAGCAGGACAAGGCAGGCATCTGCCTCAGCAACCATGGGCACTTAACATGTCAGGTGCTGTGTGGTACTAAGCACCAGCACCAGAGAGGGAAGAGCCACATTCAGGCCAGGGGATTGTCCAAAAGGGGGCATTTAAACTCATTTTAACTTGAAGGAGAATTGAAGTGCAAATGTTTTTCCCTTTTTTTTTTTTTTGAGATGGAGTCTTTCTCTGTCGGCCAGGCTGGAGTGTGCAGTGGTGCGATTTTGGCTCACTGCAACCTCCGCCTCCCAGGTTCAAGCAATTCTCCTGCCTCAGCCTCCCAAGTAGCTGGGATTACAGGTGCGTGCCACCACACCCAGTTAATTTTTGTATTATTAGTAGAGATGGGGTTTCCTCATGTTGGCCAGGCTGTTCTCAAACTCCTGACTTCAGGTGATCCGCCTGCCTCAGCCTCTGAAAGTTCTGGAATTACAGGCATAAGCCACCACTCTGGCCATAAATATTTTTCATTAATTTTACATTAAGTACAATATTTAGGTCTAAACTTCAAAAGTCTTTTGAAATCCCTAAGTTATAGCAGCCAACAATTGATTTGAAATGGCAATAAAAATATAAGTTCATCTGCTTCATGAGCCTTAAGGAAAAAAACTCAGAACCAGAGACTTTTTAGCCCCTTCCAGGTTAGATTCAGGTTTTAAAAGTTACTCCTTTGAGGGAGTTTGACTGCTCTTGAGTGGAGGGTGACTTTAGGCTTATTCTCTCTGGCTTTCTGCTCCAGTCGTTTTTAGACATAGTAAGAAGTTGTAACCTGTCTTCACATCCTAATTGCCACTGTCTGTTCATCCCAGGAATCCTGGCTTTCATCCCTTTCTGTTCACTGTCCATGCATGTTATCTTTCCTTCTTTCTGCCAGGGACAGATGGGTTAGGGATTGTGGAATTCAAGTAAACTTAGAGCTACTATGAGTTACAAATTGACTGTGTTTCTGTCTTTAATAAATTTGCCAAGAGTGATTAAAAGAACTTACACCTGATGAGGCGCCAGGCTCCTGACACTGTAATGTCACAAAATACCCTTTACTCTTGATCTGTGCAAGAAAACAGCTGGTTGCGCTCCAATCATGTTACATAACCTATGACAAGGTATCGACAGGATCATACTCCTGTAAAATAAAACTTTGTTGATCACCTCTTGTGTGCTTGTTTCATGCACATGAGGAGCAATTACTACAGGTTGTACAATTATGGCAAAATAATGATCTTATTTTGTTTTTAGCTTCAGCGAGAACCCAGACCTTTCCCAAAGCTCAAAATTCTCCGAAAAGTTGAGAAAATTGATGACTTCAAAGCTGAAGACTTTCAGATTGAAGGGTACAATCCGCATCCGACTATTAAAATGGAAATGGCTGTTTAGGGTGCTTTCAAAGGAGCTTGAAGGATGTTGTCGGTCTTTAGGGGTTGGGCTGGATGCAGAGGTAAAAGTTCTTTTTGCTCTAAAAGAAAAAGGAACTAGGTCAAAAATCTGTCCGTGGCCTATCAGTTATTAATTTTTAAGGATGTTGCCTCTGGCAGATATAACTGCCAGTTCTTTCCATAATAAAAGGCTTTGAGTTAACTCACTGAGGGTATCTGAAAACGCTGAGATGATGAACAAAGGAGAAAGAAATGTATGTGCTCTTAGCAAAAACACGTGCGTGCATTGCAATCCCACGTCCTTATAAAGAAGGTTGGTGAATTTTAAGAATTTCACAAGCTTCCCTCAAAACTGAGGGAGCTGAGTAACACCATCAATCGTGATGTAGAGTGTGGTTATGAACATTTAAAGTTACAGTCGTTTTATATGTTGCTATAATAAAGAAGGGTTCTGCATTTGTCCACGCTTTGTTCATTCTGTAGTGTCACTTACCTGCTCAGTTCCTTCCTAAAATAGATTTAAAGAACTCTCCTAAGTAAACATGTGCTATATTCTGGTTTGGATGCTACTTAAAAGAGTAGATTTTAGAAATAGTGACTATATTTTGTCCTATTTTTCTCATTTTAACTGCATCTTATCCTCAAAATATAATGACCATTTAGGATAGAGTTTTTTTTTTTTTAACTTATAACCTTAAAGGGTTATTTTAAAATAGTCTATGGACTACCATTTTGCCCTCATTAGCTTCAGCATGGTGTGATTTCTCTAATAATTAAGCAAGAAAAAGATGCATAACCACTTCAGGGTTAATCAGTGAAATCTTTTTCCCTTCACTTCGTACCAGATACCCCCTGGTGTTGCACGACTATTTTTATTCTGCTAATTTATGACAAGTGTTAAATAGAACCAAGAATTATTCCAACAAGTTATGCAACATGTTGCTTATTTTCAAAGTACAGTTTAATGTCTAGGTGCCAGCCCTTGATAGATATTTTGTAAGAACATCTTCCTGGACTTTGGGTTAGTTAAATCTAGACTTATTTAAGTATTAAGTAGGATAATGTGTATTGATTTGCTAAAAGAATCAAGTAATAATTACTTAGCTGATTCCTGAAGGTGGTATGACTTTTCATTGAACTAATCTTGGTAGGATTTTTAAAAATCCATTTCTGTAAAACTATTTCCAAGAAATTTTAAGCCTTTTCACTTCAGAAAGAAAAAAGATGTTGGGGCTGAGCACTTAATTTTCTTGAGCAGCAAGGAGTTTCTTCCAAACTTCACCATCTGGATACTGGTGTTTCTTTACAGATTCCTCCTTCATTTCTGTTGAGTAGCCGGGATCCTATCAAAGACCAAAAAAAATGAGGCATGTTAACAACCAACTGGAACAAAAACAGATTTTTTGTATTTATGCTGCTCCAAGAAATGCTTTTACGTCTAAGCCAGAGGTAATTATTTATATTTTTTGAGATGGAATCACTCTATCCGTTGCGCAGGCTGCAGTACAGTGGCACAATCTTGGCTCACTGCAACCTCCACCTCCCAGGTTCAAGTGATTCTCCTGCCTCAGCCTCCCATGTAGCTGGGATCACAGGCACCTGCCACCATGCCTGGCTAATTTTTTGTATTTTTTTGTAGAGACGGAGTTTCACCATATTGGCCAGGCTGGTCTTGAACACCTGACCTCAAATGATCCACCTGCCTTGGCCTCCCAAAATGTTGGGATTACAGGCGTGAGCCACCACACCCAGCCCCGAATTAATATTTTTTTTTTTTTTTTTTT